GTAAACAAAGTCAGTGATACCTTTTACTGAGGCGGTTTCTTTGTAAATCCTTATTTAAATTAGAAAAAGTTTATAACATTTTCACAGTCAAGGGCACCACTCCACTGCATAAAACTTATGAAATAAATTAAAGTACGATGAAAACTCAAACGTTTTTTAAACAGGGCCAAGTTCGTCGAAGAAGTATGGCACATGTATCCCTTTTCTTTTTTACTTCTCATCATCAAGTCAAAATGATATCTTAACCTTTAATCAATTGAATCTTTGAAAAATTCGGGTATCCGTGGTAAAACGATCGCTCAATAAAAAAATCCTCTTTATCCTTAACGTGTGTAACATAAATGTTGAGTGTCGAAAGTACAATCCCGAATTGCTTTGGCTCTGCTTCACAACGGTCTGGGATTGGTCAAGAAAACTAGCACTTACCCCCTCGACCAATCAGAAGTTAAACTGAAACCAATCGCTGGTTGGTCCCTCGCATTTTCCCGCGCTTTAAGCAGTTAGCTCATTTTCAATTTGACCCCTCATTGGCTCCTTATGGTATTCCCTCCGTTTACTTTGGCTTTGGTTTGGTGACACTCAATAGAAGACTTCTGTTTTTATGACGTTACTTCAAGACGGGAATTTTCTTTCCTAACAATCCACAGAAATGAATAGGGAACGAGGTGAATATATCTATATTTACCCCCGTTCTCAAAAACGTTGTAATTTGAGAGTAAAAATACAGATAGTTGCCTTTTGTTTTATCCTCGAAAAAAGTGTTGAAAGTCAATAAATCCTAAGGTAATTTTATAAAGACGATTTAGGAATGGCTGCTGTCAAATTTTTCACATTCTTTGTGTCAACTTGACACCAGTTTGCAGAGATGTTTGCATTGTTTACCCGAGACTTATACATACATTTTTATAATAACTGTAGAAATTCTTGCGCGCTCATTGGTCGAGAATATTTGTCAACAAGGGTCTAGACGATAAAAATGATGGATTATGTAATGTAACACTCAGCAATCCTCACCACGTCGGAGACAAAAGTAACCTCGTAAAAAAACAATTTCGAATTTCTGAGAAATGGACAGTAAAAACCTTTAAGATGGGTACACTTTGGGAAATTTTTAGAAGAAGAACTTGTCGAGGTGGAAAAAAAAGCGGAAGAGAATCTTCAGAAATAGAAATCCGATTCGCGGCTTGCAAAGTTGAAAGACGGACAAATTCGTACCAATACTTGCCGACCCCGTTCAAATATAAGAACAGGCATCGAGTAATTTTCGTTCAAATGTCGAAAGTAATCCGGGAGGGCTTCGGTTTTCGTATACTTCGGTGTGTGATTGGTCGAAAAAGACTCGTACCATGTTATGAACCAATCAGACGTCCGCGTTTTCCCGCGCTTTTAGTAGTTTGCCTGTTTTTTTTTCCTTCGATTGCTCATTGGTTCATGATGAAAACCTTTCTCATGAGAGCCCGTTGTGATCACTTTGGTCAACTTCAAACCACTATAGATATCTATCTGGTATATTTTTGTCCAGCAACATTTTTTAGAACGGGTCTTTATCATAAGATTGACTATCACAATATATCATCACGAACAAAGAGGTAAAAACATCGCCTCCAATTCAGTGTCACCCAAACAAAAGAAAGCCTAAGGATTTTACATTCAACTAACAGACGAAGTTATTTCTAACAAGGCGCAATATGGTAAAATGAACAAAGCTTCACAGCCATACATCATACCGAATAAAACGATAAGAGTTACCTCCTGCCGTTGCTGCGCAAACATCGCAACAGCACCCTTGCATTCGATTAGACATTTAAGAAACTTGACGAACTCACAGTTAGTACTAGGTGCAGACATATACGTTAGGCGGAATAGTATGAAGAAGAGAAATCAGCCAATAACCACTTGGAACTCCGAAAGAAAGACCTCAGTGAGCGTTTAAATTCTTCGTTGTGGTACAAATTTTCGGGCTAGTTTCCAGACACGGCACATTCTGACCATGTACTCAAAATGGCCGTTACGAACTAAGTTGATTTCAATTCCAGTGAGTTTGTCTGGGATCTGCTCTTAAATTGGTAATCCAATGTAAGGGCGCCGTATGACAGAATTAGAAATATTTGTAATATATTATTATCTGGTGCTTTAAGATATAGATATTATCTCTTTAACCTAACTACCACACAGATATAGAGACGACTCAGTAATAACGAAACTATATTTACACCAAATTAAGATAAACAGCACTAATTTCACCAAACATGGGCTGTAGAAAACTAATCGAGAAATTTTTTTTCTTTGTTTAAAAACTTATCCTTCATGATAGGGAACTCACTCTTGAAATTCTTTAGAAATACCAAAGTCATGTTACGTTGTAAAAAATATACAAGAACCATATAATTATGAACTATTCTAAACCTCCTAAGAATTTCACAGACAAGGTGTCAGGTTTGAATGACGTCCTAGAACAGAAATAACAGTTTTAGAATATTAACTTACTGGTTAAAAGAAGCATTACCCATAAAAAGATGAAAGTTAAAAAAATTTAGTGCAGTGTTGAGTATGTTTTAATTAATATTTTAAAAACGTTTTAAGCAATTGGTGCAGTTATGAAATACTACAACAGATAAATTTGTGTTAACTTTTCTCCATATCCTCCCATTTAACATCTGGAATCACTCCTTTCAGGGAACACCGGATGAACTTCTCCATCTTTTTCCGAGCGGTTTTCTCTTCGAGCAAACTCTGGCGAAGGGACTCAGTTTCCTGCGAATGGAAAAAAAAGACTAAATGTTGACAAATTCGAGCAAGTTTTCAAAAGTGTTTAGCTCCACTTTTCTCTTCGATTGGTCAATAAATTTTGTGGCACCCTCGAAACCAATTACATGTAAAACTGTACCCAATCACAAAACTTTCCTCTTTGTGCTTTGAGTTCTGACTAGCTCCTAACGATATTTTCCTTTACTCTGATTGGAAACCTACTGCATGAAAATTTGATCCAATCACAAATGTTTCCTATTTATCCTTTGAGTTCTGATTGATTTTGTTTTGGTTAACCGAAACAAAATCTAATTGCTTTTTGTTGTATGCTTGAAACAGTTTGTGATTAGACTCAAGATAGTACTGCTGGAAAATTTTGACATTTCTGAACACTGTTTGAGAAATCTTGTTAACACACACACACGAAAAAAAGATAATGGACTTTCATAGATACCTCATTTTCAATGACTATTTGTGGTGTAAGGCGAAGTAGTATAGTTTCGTGTATAATGCACTTACGGTATAAGAATAAACTGTATTGTGATGATGGTCCAGCAATAGTATTTGACAAAAACTGTCCACTGATTTCCAGTGCTCACTTACGTTTTTTCATTTCTTTAAAGACGGAAGTTTTCTTGTGTACGTGGTTCTAAATTAGTGGGTTATTTCTTAAAAGATTATCAATGTAGTGATATCAACTTACGAGCTGAAGTTCTTCCACTCTTCTTCTAAGACAGTTAAATTCACCAGCGACATCCCTGTAAACGACAAAATGCAAT